AGCACAAAGCAGGAGCACCAAACCGGGGCCACGGGAAGTGAGGGGGGGGGGGGGGGGGGGGGGGGGGGGGCATGCCCCCGAACCCCCCTAGCAACTCCCGCCTGCCTCGGTTGGCCGTTTGGTCTGGCTACGGCACTGGCACTGTAATGCAATGTTATTGGATAACTGCAGGAAGATTTTTTTTGCAACCATAGGATGTTTGCAGGTATATGAATAGTTGTCGCACATATAAATATTGGTATTTCAATAAGGTATATCATCACAGATTATGAGTAGATAAGAAATCAGTGTCAGACGTCTCTTATAATGTAACAAACAACAATTCAATCATGTGCTAGGCTATTGCTCCAAACGAATTTGTCCTGTTATAATAAATTTATTATGTTCTAGGCTTTACGCGAAATTCAGTTATCTCCAGGCAGATATTGTGAAAGACAGGCAGAGTAGATAGAAAGATATCACTCTTAGCAGCCAGAACTAAGACTCGGGAATACAAAAAGAAGAGAAGGCAGAGAACAAAGAGGAGAGCATCTAAGCTTAAGCAGTTAGAAACCAGAGAGGGCAAGCAATATGAAAGTGGCCTAGGTTACAGACATGACAGTTCTGAAGAGCAGACTGAAATACCACCTCATACTTGCAGACCAGATATACAAAAAGTCTGTGCACCGGCTTATCATTCTTCTTCTTCTTATTATTATTATTAGTATTATTATTATTATTTTATTATTATTATTATTATTATCATTTATTATATAGACACGAGTGTTTTACTGGAAAATATACCACTCGTAAAATTCATAAAAACTACATCCGGAACCCGAGTGGTTTATTTTCCATAATCTCACACGTGAGTTTATCGATGACATAATTTTGGTAATTTCCCTCTATTATTTTATCAATGTCATTTTGTCTATATAATAAAAAGAACATTACATGGCGGCTTGAAGATATGAATTTTATTTTCTCGTGGCAAAAACAATATTTTACTCACTCGCTGCGCTCATTCGTAAAATATTGTTTTGCCACTCGAAAATAAAATTCATATCTTCGCACCACCGTGTAATATCCTCTATTTATTTTTAGTGCATTACATTTGAATGCTCTTAAAATATTGAATAAACATTACAAAAGAATAATGCAAGATCCTTCAATTTATTGTTTGGGAGAGCCAAAGCCCTTCTCAGTTTTTTCGCTCCGGAAAGTTTTCTTTCATCTCTAAAAAAAGAAATTAAAACTAAAACTTCCAAAAAATTCAGTATTCTGCAAACTAACCATATTTGTTTTCAATTCAGTGTTAAATTGAGAAATATTGTATTTTATGAAGAATTTTTAAAACGTTCAAACTGTGCACGGCATACAGTTAAGTATTTCAAAGCAACATAATGGTAGATTCATCTTTAATTTTAGGTGAATTGTTTGAATTAGGTGAATTGAATTAGGTGAATTGTTTACAAATAACCAAATACAAAGACCAAAATTGTTTAACAATTAAAATTCACTCATTAATTTTGGCAGGTGATGATGCTGAAATTTGCGAGATTGCTGCAGCAGAAGGAAAGAATACCTTCCAAGTTTACATCCTTCCTAGCAACAGCATAACACCAGCTGCATCAGCAGTCAACAAGTTGACTGTGAGGAGTGGGGTTCTCCACTATGATGGAAAACCAGTTTCCTCAACATCTTTAGCAGCAGGCCTATCAGATCTTCTTCAATGGCTCGAAGCAAGACAACCGTGTTTGCTCATGGCACACAATGCGAAAGCTTTTGATGCAAAACATCTGGTGAAGGCAGTGACTTCAAGTGACCTGCTTCCCAAGTCCTCTCAGGTGGTACTTGGTTTTTCAGATACCCTGCCAGCCTTCAGACAGCTGTTTCCTGATAGAGCATCCTGCAGCCAAGAACACCTAGCACAAGACCTCCTTGAGAGAACCTACAATACCCATAGTGCATTAGATGACGTTCTCATCCTACAAGGGCTGGCATCCAAGTATATATATCACTGACAGCACTCTGTTACAGCACAGCTTTACAACATCATGGGTGGAGACATACACAGTGTTCCTTGGCCAGAAGAAACAAAATCTCAAAACCCTACAGCCACTCATCAGCTCAAAAGCAGTGTCGAAAGGAATGGCGGAGAAAATAGCAGCTTCTGGCTTGAGACTAAGCCACATACAGCTAGCATTTACAAGAGGTGGAGCTGATGGAATCTCCAAGGTCCTCACAGAGAAATTTAGCTGCAGGGCAAGGATCACAACGAACACGAGAATTCTTGAGAGCATTTCCAGTTTCTTTGCAGAGAAGTGAAATGTAAATTCCTAATATGAGAATGTAAACAAGAAAACGATAAGTTATGATATTTATCACTCTGTGCTTTTGCTGAATTAATTATACAATGCGTGATAAAACTTAGCTAAACTGTACATTCTTAGTTGACACTGACAAAACGTATCCGGAAGTCACCAGGATTCGTCATGCAATATCTCCTGGTCTCTTGTACGGGTCCCCAAATGAAATTTAACCTATTTTTCCAACATTAAGAATATGTCTTTGACCATAGTTCGGTTTCTGGAGCATTTTTACACGTATTTCATTACCGACAAGACTATCTCGTTATGAGGGCGAATTTCGAAGGTCTGTACTTCATGCAAGACTTAGTAGAACGTCCTGAGCCACACCCAATTGTACCTTCGCGCAGGGGGTAGGGTTGGGGAGGGGGTGGAGGTTCTGTACAAGGGACAGTCTCTAGATTTTAGATCTGCAGACGATGGCATCACTGTAATAAAAACTTTGAGCATTTGTATTACAAATGAAAACTTGTACCACTTGTTCACATCATACTTGGGGGCTGGACTGGGCCCCATTATGTTGTGGCTTGTCTCGCCAGATCGCTAAAGTGACTTATTTCGTTAAGAAAGCCATGCAAGTATTATGTAATGGTAAGATTTCTCGGAAATTATAATTTAAGTGTCATATTAAAGTGTCAGATTCAATATTGCTTGTTCTTTTTAGGTATATACTTCATGGTAGAAAGCCACAAGTGCACCGGTAATATACACTCTGTGTAATATGTAGTATTGTGTCTTCTCCCTAATAGCTAGTGGTAGTTACTAGTAGTTACTTGTAGTTACTTGTAGTTACTAGTAGTTAGTGGTAGTTATTAGTAGTTACTGGTTGTTACTAGTAGTTACTGGTAGTTACTAGTAGTTGTCGGTAGTTACTAGTAGTTACTAGTAGTTACTTGTAGTTCTTGGTATTTACTAGTAGTTAGTGGTAGTTTTTAGTATTTACTGGTAGTTACTAGTATTTACTGGTAGTTACTAGTAGTTGTCGGTAGTTACTAGTAGTTTCTAGTAGTTACTTGTAGTTCTTGGTATTTACTAGTAGTTAGTGGTAGTTATTAGTAGTTACTGGTAGTTACTAGTAGTTACTGGTAGTTACTAGTAGTTGTCGGTAGTTACTAGTAGTTACTAGTGGTTAATAGTAGTTCTTGGTATTTACTAGTAGTTACTGGTATTTACTAGTAGTTACTAGTAGTTACTGGTAGTTACTAGTAGTTGTCGGTAGTTACAAGTAGTTACTAGTAGTTCTTGGTATTTACTAGTAGTTACTGCTAGTTACTAGTAGTTGATGGTAGTTATTGGTATTTACTAGTAGTTACTGGTAGTTACTAGTAGTGGTCAATAGTTACTAGTAGTTAGTGGTAGTTGTTGGTGTTTACTAGTAGTTACTGGTAGTTACTAGTAGTTCCTATTAGTTATCGGTAGTTACTGGTAGTTACTAGTAGTTGTCGGTAGTTATTAGTAGTTACTGGTAGTTAGTAGTAGTTCTCGGTAGTTACTGGTAGTTGTCGGCAGTTACTGGTAGTTACTAGTAGTTGTCGGTAGTTGCTAGTGGTTTGTAGTAGTTGGTGGTAGTTACTGGTAGTTACTAGTAGCTACTGGTAGTTACTAGTAGTTTTCGGTAGTTACTAGTAGTTAGTAGTAGTTCTTGGTATTTACTAGTAGTTAGTGGTAGTTATTAGTAATTACTGGTAGTTACTAGTAGTTGCTGGTAGTTACAAGTAGTTCCTAGTAGTTATCGGTAGTTACTAGTGGTTACTAGTAGTTGGTGGTAGTTATTGGTAGTTAGAAGTGGTTACTAGTAGTTGCTGGTAGTTACTAGTAGTTGGTGGTAGCTACTGGTAGTTGTCGGTAGTTACTATTAGTTAGTGGTAGTTACTAGTAGTTACTAGTAGTTAATGGTAGTTTTTGGTATGTACTAGTAGTTACTGGTAGTTCCTAGTAGTTATCGGTAGTTACTGGTAGTTGCTGGTAGTTCCTAGTAGTTAATAGTAGTTACTGGTAGTTCTTGGTATTTACTAGTAGTTAGTGGTAGTTTTTAGTATTTACTGGTAGTTACTTCTAGTTGTCGGTAGTTACTAGTAGTTTCTAGTAGTTACTTGTAGTTCCTGGTATTTACTAGTAGTTAGTGGTAGTTTTTAGTATTTACTGGTAGTTGTCGGTAGTTACTAGTAGTTTCTAGTAGTTACTTGAAGTTCTTGGTATTTGCTAGTAGTTAGTGGTAGTTATTAGTAGTTACTGGTAGTTACTAGTAGTTACTGGTAGTTACTAGTAGTTGTCGGTAGTTACTAGTAGTTACTAGTGGTTAATAGTAGTTCTTGGTATTTACTAGTAGTTACTGGTATTTACTAGTAGTTACTAGTAGTTACTGGTAGTTACTCGTAGTTGTCGGTAGTTACAAGTAGTTACTAGTAGTTGATGGTAGTTACTAGTAGTTACTAGTAGTTACTGGTAGTTACTAGTAGTTGTCGGTAGTTATTAGTAGTTACTGGTAGTTAGTAGTAGTTCTCGGTAGTTACTAGTAGTTGACGGTAGTTACTGGTAGTTACTAGTAGTTGTCGGTAGCTACTAGTAGTTACTAGTAGTTACTTGTAGTTCTTGGTATTTACTAGTAGTTAGTGGTAGTTATTAGTAGTTACTGGTAGTTACTGGTAGTTACTAGTAGTTGTCGGTAGTTACTAGTAGTTCTTGGCATTTACTAGTAGTTAATGGTAGTTATTAGTAGTTACTGGTATTAAGCGCTTTGGTCAATTAGTGGAGTTAGCGCTATATAAATTATGTTATTATTATTATTATTATTATTATTACTAGTAGTTACTGGTAGTTGCTAGTAGTTGATGGTAGTTATTGGTATTTACTAGTAGTTGTTGGTAGTTACTAGTGGTTGCTAGTAGTTGGTGGTAGTTACTAGTAGCTACTGGTAGTTACTAGTAGTTGTCGGTAGTTACTAGTAGTTCTTGGTATTTACTAGTAGTTAGTGGTAGTTATTAGTAGTTACTGGTAGTTACTAGTAGTTAATGATAGTTATTAGTAGTTAATAGTAGTTCTTGGTATTTACTAGTAGTTAGTGGTACTTATTAGTAGTTACTGGTATTTACTAGTAGTTACTGGTACTTACTAGTAATTGCTAGTAGTTGTTGGTAGTTACTAGTAGTTGCTGGTAGTTACTAGTAGTTGGTGGTAGTTCGTGGTAGTTGTCGGTAGTTAGTAGTAGTTACTGGTAGTTGCTAGTAGTTATCGGTGGTTACTGGTAGTTACTAGTAGTTGTCGGTAGTTATTACTAGTACCTCCTAGTAGTTAATATTAGTTCTTGGTATTTACTAGTAGTTAGTGGAGGACTCTTGGCGTTCTCAATTCAGTCCTTGGTTACTAGTAGTTGCTGGTAGTTACTAGTAGTTGGTGGTAGCTACCGGTAGTTGTCGGTAGTTACTATTAGTTAGTGGTAGTTACTAGTAGTTACTAGTAGTTAATGCTAGTTTTTGGTATGTACCAGTAGTTACTGGTAGTTCCTAGTAGTTACTAGTAGTTATGAGTAGTTACTAGTAGTTACTGGTAGTTACTAGTAGTTATCAGTAGTTTCTAATAGTTACTGGTAGTTATTAGTAGTCGTCGGTAGTTGCCTATAGTTATCGGTAGTTACTAGTAGTTACTGGTAGTTTCTAGTAGTTGTCGATAGTTACTAGTAGTTGGTGGTATAAGTTATTGGTATTTACTAGTAGTTGCTGGTGGTTACTAGTAGTTGCTGGTAGTCTCTAATAGTTGCCGGTAATTACTGATTTGAGTCGACTGTTTTTATATGCTTGGACTATTTCTATTGACGCTGTTGAAGTGGAAGTCTAGAAATATAACAGAGCACTTAATGTCAGGTCCCGCGCGGAAAAACAGTTATATTTTTCCTCAAGTAATGATGTTTCCCTTCTGGTTTTCGTCTCTGGAAACATCAGGACTCTCGGCGTTCTCGATTCCTTTTCTTTCCAATGTGGTATTAAACCAATGTTCACACAAAGCAATCACTTTAAGTAGACTTTATTTGTGAAAGGTTTTCTTAAACTTAATATGCCTTTACACAGAATGACAGGTTGGCTCATATATTCCATTTAAAGTGACATGTATTTCAGTCTCAATGTCATAAGTCTTTGCCTTTAATTTTATTTCTACTAATTTATAAAAACCTTAACTTAATGATGTCGCTGACATAGTCATGACATTGAAAACCTTGTAAACAGTAATAGTTTCTAATGTGTTTGAAGTAAATATCCATTTCCTAATTGTAGAAGTCCTCTGTAAAACCAATGTTACACTAAAGGTTCTCTTTCCATAATTTGATACAAATGGTTTTAATTATCTAATTGTATGGCGGCTGCGTAGGTGGATTTTTCAAAAATCAATTTTTTTGATGTTGTATCAGCAATATTTAAATTACCTTCTGAATATGAAGTGATTTTCATTTCTTCATATTGCTCTTAAGGTGTGATCATAATGACCTGTTAAGATTTGATCTCAAAACTGGTAACCTTCGATTAAGATTACTAAGCGGTACCTTGTACTTTCTGTCGGTGTAAAATTTGCCCTTGTCAGTTTTTGTGCCAAGTGGCTTACTGGCACCTCTTTTCACCCTCGTGTTTTTTGCACCTCGGAAGAGGTCAATTAATAAGCAGCTC